CCGGCCGGGAGGGGGGGGGGGCGGGGCCACCCCGCGCGGCGGCCGTCACGTGAGCGGCGGGCGGTGGGAGGGGGGAGCGGGTCACGTGAGGTCTCCCCGTCCGTCGCTGCGGCCGGCCGCCATGTCGTCTTTCCCGGAGCTGTACTTTAACGTGGATAACGGTTACCTGGAAGGGCTGGTGCGGGGTTTTAAGGCCGGGGTGCTGCGGCAAGGCGACTACGTGAACCTGGTGCAGTGTGAGAGCCTGGAGGGTGAGTGGCGGCGGGGCTCTGAGGCTGGTGGGGACCCTCCCCCCCAGTCCCTTCATCACTGAGGGGAAGGCCCGGGCGGTGGGCTGAGGGGAAAGGCCGGCCGGTGTGAGGGGGGAGGCGAGGGGCAGCGGGGAAAAGAGCCGACAGCGGCGGTTTTGAGGCGCCGTCCCCTTGTTCCTCCCCCTCCTCGGCTGCTGTCTCGGCGCTCAGCTGACTCGGTGTCCCGGCCGTGTGATTTCAACAGCTGACATGGCGCTTCGAGGAAGTTGGAGCTCCCAGGGCTCCCTTGAGGTGGCCACACAACCCTGGTACGTGGCTTGCTCTTCTTCGGAGCCTTCTGGGTTTGTCAGGCTTTGCTAATGGGTCTCCTTTTGTGCTTTTCACTTCTAGGCAGTGCAGGAACCCCTTTTGAGGACAGAAGTAAGATTATCAGTAATCTCTCTGTAATCTCATAGTGCCAAAATGTTTATAACCTAAGAATAAAAAGCTCTGAATGTTCTGGTAAGAATGCAGAATAACATCGTGCTTTACCCAAACCTTGTCTCTGCCAAGTACTTGGTATCTCAGAGAATCAGGCCTCAAGTAGCTGTGGGATTCAAGAGTTCTTGCATAATTCTACATGTTTGGGTTTTACCCTTTTCACATCCTTCTTAAGTCTAATGAGACACTCGTTTTGTGGAGTGGGAATGATTTTTTTGTCAGATTCCTGTCTTTCCCTGCAATATCCTGTGTGCTTACCCAGGGAAGGGGTTGAGTGTCCATCCCTGGAGGTATTTAAGAGAGGGGTCGATGTGGTGCTGAGATGTGGGTTAGCGGTAACTCGGCACTGTTAGCTTGATGGTTGGACTTGATGATCTTAAAGGTCTTTTCTAACCTAAATGATTCTATGATCTAACTTAATCCCTGATACCCATGGTCAGTTTTAGAGGAGATCAGGTCATCAAGGAAAGTACCTGCTGTTATTGAAGGATTGGTAGTGGAAAAATTCTGGTGTGGATCTGAGTAAATTCCCTGGTGAACTATCCTTCACCTGGAACCTTGAGTTCTCTTTTGAGGCTAATTCTGACTTCCAGCCATTGTCTCTTTTCTAGATCCAAACCTGGAGAGCTGCGAAGGTTTTGCTCTGTGATACCCATTAGTTGTGGTCAGCTCGTTGTCTTTATTAGTCAGTGCTGAACTGTTCCTCTCTATCAGTGACCTGCTTAGCACTTTAAGCTCCTTGGTATCCAGAACTTGGATCACAAATCACAAAGATCAAAACCAGGTGTCTGTTGAAATAGATGAGAAACATATGTATCCGAGGTGTTGGTTTGTTTTGGTCAATGGGACTATAAGTATTGGATCAATCTTTCTTCTGAAAACACTAGTTAAGCATCAGCTTTATCTTGATGATCGTTGCTGAGTGATTGAAATTAATATTGACCATCTAAGGGATCCTCGGCCAGCTGAACCCTGGATGCAAGTAACCTGGAACTGCTCAGACAGCTGTTAAACAGCAGAATGGGAATGAGCGCTGTTATGTGCTTCAGTCTCAACCTTAAAAATACCCAGGATGTTTTTACTTAGGGTGCCCCTTTTCAGCCAGAGTTTTCTGTGGCTCTCTGCTTGCAGCAGTCTCTGTTCTTGCTATGGAGCCCAGAGCCTGAAAGAAGGGGTGGTGGGAGGTATTCCTGCTCTCTTGCTAGTCAGAACTCTCAGCATGCCCTAAATCTTCCTTGCAGATAACTTCCTCTTTAGAGTCTTTCTGTATTTATAGCTTCTCTTTTTTTTTTCCTCCCCTCTTTGCTTTCTGAACTAAGTTGTGTAACCTTAGCTCTCCCTTGGAGCGGTGTTTTCTGCATTTGGAATGAGTCAGTTTGGAGTTCCCCTATGTTTGTCTTGGTATCGTCACTGTCCTGTCCCTGACAGCTCTCTGGTGGCGGTGGCTGCTGCTGTGCTCCTTGGTGAGCTTCATTCAGAGCCTGAAGGCTGTTCTGAGTTCACTGCCAATCTCGTTCCTCTTCCACTTGGCTTTCTGTGCCCCTGTCTAGTGTGCTCTTGTAGGAGGATATTCCTTCAAAGGAGCACTGCTCTTGAGCACTTAGATGGGTCTGTGGTCAGACCAGTTCTTTTCCCTGTCCCTTTAGATCAGATTTTTCCATTTTGGTATCTCTTTTCTGTGCTCCACAGACTTTAACATGCATTCTTTCTCTCCCAGGTGCACTAAATCCAGGCAGTGGCTAGCTTATTAGCAGCCAAAATAAGTACTTGGGCATAAAACACCCGTACATTCTTCTCTACTGTTTCTGTTTTGTCTTTGCTGTTGCCTTTTGTGTCTGAGTCTGTCTCTGCAGTTAGTCCCAGTCTTGGAGCAAATGGTGGCCTTGGAGAAATCCTGAATGAAAGTTGTTGTGGGACCCGGTCCTGGGAACTGAGGTTACTGGTGTTGATGGTGTGCAGAGGATTTTGTGCTTCCAGGTCAGAAACGCTGCTTCCTCTTGTGTGCTGGGATCAGTCTGGAAGCACATAGGAATTCTTTGCTTCAGGACCTGGGCTGACAGCTTGGTGCTGCTGGAAGGAGGAGATGGTGCTTTTCTGCCTGATCCTCTGTCATCTCTGCTTGCCTGATCCCAAAGTAAGCCGATTCAAGCTCTCACTTCTTGATGAGTCAAAAATACAGAGCTAAATTGGCTCTCTGTGATCAGGCAGGCTCCTGAGCTGGCTTTAAGAGGCAGGAAAACATGACCAGCGTTGAGGAGAGGATAGGAGAGCTGTTCTGGCTTAAGTTTTCTCTTGAAACCCTCATCAAGAATATATTTAATCCCTTCTTTCAGCCCCCAAAGTCCTGGTGCTTTGGTTGTTTCTTGGCCAGAGGTCCTTTTATGATGGGTATCGCTTGGAACCTGCCTGGCTCTCTCCTGTAGCCAGTTCCTGCTTCTGACACGAGGTGTCAGTGAAGGACTTGGAGCTGCTTCCCTCTGCCACAGTGCTGTGAGCACGGGTCTGTCCTGGAGTGGAACTCCTCTCGGATAAACCGGACTTCTGAGTCACACAGATCTCTGTTGTCAAAAGGGTGATGAGCCATCTGAAGCTCCTTAAAGCCCTGGTAACCTTTTAGAGGTCATCTCTGGAGAATAAAAATGTATACTGCAAAAAGTATAGAATCATAGAATCGTCTAGGTTGGAAGAGACCCTTGGGATCATCGAGTCCAACCATCTACCCTACTCTACAAAGTCCTCCCCTACACCATGTCCCTTAGCACTGTATCTAAACGGCCCTTAAACACATCCAGGGATGGTGACTCCACCCCCTCCCTGGGCAGCCTGTTCCAATGCCCGACCACTCTTTCGGTGAAAAATTCCTTCCTAATGTTCAATCTAAACCTCCCCTGTTGGAGCTTGAAGCCGTTCCCTCTCGTTCTGTCACTAATTACCTGTGAGAAGAGACCAGCACCAACCTCTCTACAGTGTCCTTTCACAAAGTTGTAGAGAGTGATGAGGTCTCCCCTCAGCCTCCTCTTCCTCATCCTAAACAGTCCCAACTCCCTCAGCCGCTCCTCATATGATTTGTTTTCCAGCCCCCTCACCAGCTTCGTTGCCCTCCTCTGCACTCGCTCCAGCACCTTGAGATCTCTCTTGTATTGAGGTGCCCAAAACTGGACACAAGCTTGGGACGCACACAGAAGTGTCTTCTTTAGAAACAGGAATTTCTTTACCTTCAAGTCAGTGTTCATGAGCCTCCTATTGCTAATAATCCTCTTGCTTCCTCGGGAACCATGTAGAAAGCCAGTTTTTTTCTGACCTGCCAATGGAATAAAGGTGATTGGTGTGGTGAAAACCAGCAGCAGGATGTGTCACTCTCTAGCTGGGTAATGAGGCTGTGAAATGGCCAGCTGAGAAGAGGCAGGTGGTTGGCTCAAGTTTGTTAGTGTGGGCCTCTGTTGGGAGAGCCTTTCCAGAGCCTGTGTGTTTCCACCACCACCTCTCTGTGGGTGCTTCAGTCCGTGCAATCAGCTCAGCTGGGGACTTGTATGCCTTATGGAAACAGCGGTGTGCACGGGGAGGGATGGGATCTGCTCTGTTTCTGGCTTAAGCTGCGTGTGGAACTAGTCTCATGCCCTTGCAGGGGTCTGTCTTGTTTTGTTTGTGCATCTCAGCCTGGAGTTCAGCAGTCTGCTGTGGACTTGTCCTGTGGAACACTCTTGGTTTTTCAGTCCTCGTAACCCCAAGGTAGCGGTGTCGTGTCACGTCAGCTTGGGGAAAAGCAGAGATCTGAGCCCCAAAGATGTATTTGGGAGGTGAAGGGTGGCTAGGAGAAGCAAATACATGTGATTCTTTTAGAAAAAAAGGATTTCCAAGACTGTGGTTTTCTCTCATCTCCTCAGTTTGGTCCATAGACCTCCATTTCTAGGACACGTGTATCAACGGTGAAATTGGAGAGCTTGAAGCAAGTAGGTCACACTTGTCCTGGACTCACTGACTCCACACCAGCTGGAGGGCACAGTGATCTGCCTGAATGGTACCCTCACACGTGCCAGAGCCATGTCTTCTGTCAAATTAATCCGTCGTGATACATAGTGAGCACCAAACTCTTGATACAGGGCTGGATGGTGTGGAATAAACCACGACTGGACGGGTTGGTTGGTTGTTTTTGAGTCTTGAAGAGTATTTCCAGGGTTGCTCTGCGTAGCCCTTGCTGCCCAGAAGGGGAGTGCTTCTCCCCTTTGCTTTATGTTATGTACTGAGTGTTTGCCTTATCTCCTTTCGCTGAGAGAAGAGCAGGAGAGGCTGTGCTATCCCTCTCTCTTCCATTTTATCACTGTGGTCCTGGAATCCGGGCCCCGGAGGGCTGGAGCTGGGCATTTCTTTCAGCTTAATTGCATGGCCACAGGGTGTCCTCTCTTGTGTAGAGAAGTTGCTTTGCTACCAAAATGACAGACTACCTCCACGAGTGCTTTTGGCACCTTGGTTCATGGTGGAGCTCATGGTGTTCTCCTGGGTGTGAGGGGAATGGGAGATGG